AATTTAGTGCCACTTAAATTCAACATAAAAAAAAGTAAATTACAGGTTATTCCAAATGAACTGAAAATATTGAATATAAATATTAAAAAAAGGTAGTGTTTTCTCTTTGGATGAACACATACATGGAGTTAAAATGCAGACCCAGACAAAGACTCTGACACGGCGAGCCAGAAAGATGATAGGCTATTAATTTGTAGTAGAATATACTAACGCTGTGACAAAGATAATAGCACCTAAATGTTCACAAGACCCAGTTTCTCCATTTGTTCAGTGAAAGTCATGAGAAAGTTAATGAGCCAGAGTCCTAACACGACAGGATACTATTAGCCTGCATTTAAAGGTTTCATAGGCTGTGGTGATAGGCATTATTAGCCAGTGTTCTGCACATTCATTAACATCTCCCTATATTAGTGTCGGAAAAAGAAAATAAAATTGCACTGATAACATAAAATTGAGGGTTAACAACCAGATGTCCTTACAGAGTAACTGTTTAGGCATTTACCTATAAATAATAAAGATGGGGCAAGAAACGAATTTAAATGATGCAACTAATTTATCATTGCTTAAATACACAGAATATAATACGATGAAGCCCTATAGTGGCATATTTGCCCATACTCCCTTATATTTATTTACAATGTTTTCTCTCAGCCTGTAATGATAAAAAGTAAAATAAACAAAACTATGTGAATGCGCCTCTTAGTGATTTATTAGTTTATCACCCTGAGGTCCCCAAATGTCTTGAATCTGGACTTTGGGCTCTAAAGCCAGATTTCCTGCATTTCTCCTCTTTCCCCACCCATGACGGGATAATCCCGTCATGAAATCGGAAGCGGCTAAATAGACTCCGGGCGGTTAGTCTGTTCAGTTTTGTAGAGCTGGCAGCCGGCTTTACAGCAGAAGCGAATCTGGCGGCTCAGCTGCAGCCAGATAGCTTCTACGATCCAGTAACCGGGACGCCCGCCCCCCCCCGCCGTGTTTCCTGGGCTCCGCTGCCCCTCCTCCGAAACCAGGACTGGCTTGCCCTTACGGGGTTAATGTGTCTCTTCCTATCAGTAATGAGAGGTTTAGAACTTGGGGTTCTCCTGGGATGCTCAAAAGGACAGAAAGAATTGTGTGCAGGTACCTCTCGGATACTAAGATTTTTCAACCCTTTGCCAACCGGTCCAGGCTGTTGTTGCAAAAAAAACATGCTGACGACCGATGATGGTTCTGGTCATGAACAAAAACAACCGATCGGTAATTGCTACCACTGCTTTTCCACTGTTACCCTCTGATCACATCTGAGGCAGATTGGTAACAGCCCCAGTGATTCAGGAGCATCACGATTGCTCCCAAATCACTTTTGATTGGCTGCAGTCAAGGCAGTGTGTTTAAACACCGCCTTAGACTGAGTGATCTTTGCCTATCTTTCTCCTCACTAGTGTGTGAGGAAGAGAAACAGAGATTAATGTTTTAGTCAGTTTGAGGGTTAGGTAGAATTAAAAAAAAGTTTGTTAGTAATGTGTTTGTCTGTAGGTCTAATAGTTTAGTAGGTAGAATGTTATTTTAAAAAAAACCAACAAATTGGCATCTGACTCTGACGGCACTGACAGTGCGCACACAATTTTAAGGCATTGATTGATGGCCCTAGAATTATTGCTCATGCTTCAACGCTCGCGGTGATATTTTTGTTCTACACGCAACCTTATTGTTATCACATAGGGGGCTAAGAAGCTCCCTATGTGATATTAAATGTACAATGACAGATCCTCTTTATGGAGACATCAGGGGTCTTTTAGACCCCTAATGTCACATAGGAACCCCCAAAGAAGCTGATGAAGCAGAGATCTGCTTCACCAGCTCCTCTCCAGCTACAGAAGCCAGAGGAATGACAGCTTAATGCATAAGGGATGTAATACACATCACTCCGGCATTTATGAGCTGAACTCCCTCCGATCTCTGTTCATAGAGCCGCCTTGTCAGTCCTAGGCCCGGCACACAGACAGCATAGCCCGGAATAGGCAGCAGCGAGGGAGCAACAGCATGCAGCAGCACAACATATAATCGATTAGACAGCTCTACAGCCACCTGAACGCTTGTATGTACACAAGCATCGCCAGCTGTTTAAATTACAGCCAGTTTCCCACTTGTGCGCACGAGCGGAAGCGGAGAAAGGACATTTTCAAATGCCCATCCACATCTTGGACGCCATCGTCTGGCCGTCTAGTTGCAATGGTCGGACGAAAGGTGGTTAACCACTTTTGGTGGGTGGACATATATACACGTCCTCCCCCTGAAGTGGTTATACCAAGAACACAGCTGCAGCCGTGTTCTTGGTACAGTAGTAAACAGCCGGCGACGGCTATTCAGGTACAAGCGATCCGCCAGCTGTGCAGCCACCCAATCAGGTACAAGCGATCCGCCAGCCTGGGCAACCGCCCAGGCTACCCTGGCCTCCACTGTCCCCCGGGTGGGCCCAAGATCTGAACAGGTCTCCCCACATCAATCAGAGAGATCAGCAAGCTTCTAGCTGCTGGTCTCTCCTCCAATGACAGGCCCAGGAAGTGATGTGTGTATTACATCACTCCCGGTGTCACTGTTTACATTCTCTGACTCCTAGAGCCAGGAGAAGAAGCTGCTGAAGCAGATTGCTGCTTCATCAGCTTCTGTGGGGTCCCTAGGTGACATTAGGGTCTGAAAGACCCCTGATGTCTCCTTAAAGAGGACCTGTCACATCATATTTGCTATTACATAGGGGGCTATGTTAGCCTATGTGATAGCAATAAAATTAAGTGTAAAAAACTTAAAACATTTAAGTAGCATATATAAAAAAAAATACTAAAAAATGCTAAAAAAGTTTTAAAGTCCCCCGCCCCCACATACAAGCACACACAAATACAAGCACACATCGGGCACATATTGCCGTGAACGCCAGAGTGAGAGCAAAAATTTCTATGGCCATCAATCACTGTTAACACTAAACTGATGAGCAGTAAAAGCTTTTTAAGTTTCACCTATTAGAAATTTGGGGTATTGTAGTTTTTTTGCGCTTTCACGGGCGCATGCAATTTTAGGGCATGTTTAGCATCTTTTTACCCAACGTGACCCCATCTCTTATATATTTTACCAAACAATTGGGTATTATATTCTGTTTCTGTGCACTAAATTTCATTTTAGTATATTTTATCCTGAAAAATACTGTTTTGATAAACCAGCAAATAAAGCGCAAATACAGTGCAACATAAAACATTGCAACTAGCATTTTTTTATTCCACGGGGCCTCTGCTTTCAAAAAACATAATTGTTGGGTGTTTTAAGCTGTTTTCTAGCCGAAAAGTCAGATTTTATCGTGTGTTAAAATAGTAAAAAATTGCTCTGGAGAGCAAGTAGTTAAAGCAATTTTCTATTTAAAATTTCAGATTTTAGCATGTATGTGCAAAGTGTTAAAACAGCAATGGTCCTTAACGTACAACATGCCCAAAACAGTCCTGTCATAAAGGGGTTAATCCATTATTTCACCTTTGATATGTTTGTATTTATACACAAAAAGAAGTCCGGTCACCAACTATGATGCAACAAAACATATAAAAGGTTAGAACTATTTTTTGTAAAATTATTTGTTACTATGCTGTGTGAATGGGAACAGAAAACATATAGGGGGGTTTTCGCAAACTTGACTGCAAAAGTGGAAATGCACTTTTTTTTTTCAAATAAATTTTTATTGAGATTTACATGGTAACAACAGGGGTACATACAGATGTCTAAAACCCACAGACGGGTCGTTATGATGCGTCAACCGTGGAAATGCACTTTAGGCGCTTCTCAAATCCCCAGTGGTACTTAGTAAGACTTTAAATACAGAGTGCAGGTATAGCTGTGCATTGTTAGACTGAATTAGGCTTTAATTCTAATTTCAATACTAAAACAATCTCTGTTTTAAACTTCACCTGTAGGTCTAAAATTTTTTATATATAAGATGAACTAGAGCCCAACTCTAGCGTTCTACCAGGTTCGATATAGCAAGGCATAGGGGTGAAATCTTAATTTTTGTAAGTAGTATTTCTCACTTTTTCCCCGTATCACCATATCAGCTGCTACCAAATGGATAACAATGCATATTTTTGCTAAATGCTGTGACGCACTACTATGGCATACACCAAGACTATTCCCACCATATAAGAAACTTAAAAAGTATATTAGCCTTTAAAAAAAAAGCATTTTTACTGACAGTGTACATGCTGTACTTATGAAACCTATATGGCAATAAAAACATTTGTTACAGCCACGATTTGACATAAGGGAGCTCTGGCCTTTACACTACATGCATTCACAATGTTGAGATACAGTATGTGACAAATCATAAACCACTTCTTTTGAGGAATGGGACTCTGGTCCCTAAGGTTATAGTTTTTGTTAGAGTTCAATATACCACTACTGTTCAAACCTTTTGTACCTTTAAACTTTTGTACACTTTCCTATAAGCAACAGATAGTTCATGTGTCCTTATATCAACAAAGATTGCTCCAGCAACCTACAATACTGTTTTGATGACGTTTGAAACTTCCAGTTAACATTTTGCATGAGATAGCATTCTCTGTATCACTGCAGATGTAACCCTTGTGATTGTACGGTATGTAACGTATACTTGGCTGTATGTGTACACCTTTTCTTAAATAAAAAATGAGTGGAATAAAAAACATTTGTTACAGTTGCAGAGGGGATCATTTACGTAACAGAATAAGCAAACAAGACAGAAAAAATCCATTTGCAAAAATAGTAAGTACTGAAACAATATTACCGTATATACTCGAGTATAAGCCGAGATTTTCAGCCCATTTTTTTGGGTGAAAAGTGCCCCCCTTGGCTTATACTCGAGTCAGCGCCAGCGCGTCTTCTTACTTACCTCGCCTAGCGTCGCGTCACTGCTGCTCGGTGTGCGGCATCCAGAGCTGTGAGAATACAGAATTGTTGTTATGTTTCCATTTTCTCTATTCACGTAAAATACTTTTAAAATGTACCTTGTTCCAATGTCCAGCCAGCTCCCATAGTCTTTAACCAGGAAGAAAAAATGCTGAAAAAGAGAACAAAACAAAACATAAAGATTTTCAGAACACATGGAGAGGCTGAATTACTAACGGCATTGAGAATGTTCACTCAAGAAGGGGTGAAGACTGAATTATCCAGTAATGTGAATAGATAATTCTTGTTTTTTTATTTGATCAGCACATGATTACATAATTGAAGTGCATCTCCACTCTTTTTTAATGAATATTTTCAACTCAGCTAGTAATACAGCTTCATAGTTTTACCACTGTCCACCTGTGTACAACAGCATCATGTTAGGTCCAAACAGAATAGGGAATCTGGTGTTTACAGGTGACATTTATAGTTATCTATGGATCTGTTCCAGGTACCTGTTAACCCCTTCATGACTGAGGCCTTTTTTCATTTTTTGTACCCATGTTATATTCCACATTTTAGGCCTAAAAATTACTTAAAACCCCCCAACATTATATATTTTCTGAATGCCAAGACCCTATAGAATAAACAGAAAAAGCCACAGACACTGGATATTGTCTGCATTTTCCTTATATATTCTTTTTTTTTCTCAGCGGGTATAAGATTTTTGAAATGATCAGGTTTTTTTTGAGTGTCAATGTTTTATGTATAATTAGTAGGGATGCACCGATACTTTTCGAGTACCAATGCCGATACTTGGCATTTTCATGAGAACTACCAGGGTTGCAGCGGTTGCAGCTGGAACCTGGCTCTGGCGCTCCACCTTTGTCCTGAAATCATTAGTCTGTATTGTTTTAGAAAAACTGTCACATGACAATAAACAAAAATGTATCATCAGTACTTGTACAAGTATCAGTACTCGTACTTGCAATCCCTTTATTTATATTTATAAAAACAAAATCTATACATTAACACAGAGATGTACAAATCCCCAGGGCTCCGTGTGCTCCTTAAAAATGACAGCTGCCTCCTAACTTTTGAATTGCTCTCTAGTCTAGTCTTGGAGCTCGAAAAGTATTGTGACTTGTACTTGTACCGAGGACTGTACTTGGTATCGGTGCATCCCTAGTAATTAGTATACTGCACTTAAAAAGAGGAATCACTTGAATGAGTAGCTACATGGGTTACAGAGGTAAAGAAAAAGTAGAAGTGGATTGATACTGCACAATACAAAGTGGGCATGAGCGACATTATGCAGGTCGGATGAAGCTGCCTAATTGATTATCTGTTAAATGTCCATAGACTTGGGTTATTTAGTTGCATATGGATGTCAAAAAGGCAACTTCAAAAGATGGAGTGGTGGTTACAATTAAAACATTAAAAGTTATAAAATACTACTCTGTCAACTAAACATTCAATAACAGCTACAATGGGAAGTACATCAGATCAGTGCACTTTTCCTCTGATTTTGTAACCAAAGGGTAAATAGAAGCTGATACCTCTAGAGAGAAGAAAATGGTCTCTTCTGCCAGGCTTGTCTGTGGCCATTGCAGTGTTTACTAGCTGCGGCACACATAGTTCTCATTAGAATCAGGCACAAGTGTTGAACAAAATACAGGGTCTGGGCAGAGTGCCCTTATTCTGGAAGCACAAATCCCATCTTTAGGTGATGTGCCCAATTCTAATGGAAGGCATGAACAACAAAACATAACAAAACAAAGTACCAACCTCTACCAGGCATGCCAGTGGAAGCCTCTTTATCATTAAAGAGACACCTGCTTCCATTTACTTTTTGGCTGCAGAGACTAGGAAGGTGCATACCCATTTTTTATTTAAATCTTTGACTACCAAGAAGTTGGTGGTATAATTCTAGGGCCATCATTTACAATTAACTCTAAACTGATAAGCTCTAAAGGTTTTTAATGAACAGCCTATGGACAATTTTGTGGTATTGTTAATCACCACTTCTTAGGGGCATGCAATTTTGAGGCTTGATATATATGGTACCTTGTTACTCGGAAAAGTCTTATCTTATAGTTGACAAAAAAAATTGAGATTATATTGTGTTTGTGTGCAATTTTTAATCTACAGACCTCTGCTTTTGGAAAAATACACTGCCTGGCCAAAAAAGTCACCACCTGGATTTAGTTATGGTATAATCTGGGGTTGCTTCAGTTGGTCAGGTCTAGGTTCAGCAGTGTTATGTCCCCCCCCAAAAAAAGCCAGCTGCCTATCTGAATATACTGAGTGACCAGGTTTTTCCATAAATAGATTTCTTCTTCTCTTTTGGCACAGGCATATTCCAAGATGACAATGCCAGGAATTATTGGGCTCAAATTGTGAAAAAGTAGTTCAGGGAGCATGAGACATAATTTTCACATATGGATTGTCCATCACAAAGTCCAGACCCCATTGAGAATCTTTGGGATGTGCTGGAGACCTACGGTCTGACTCTCCCATCATCACTACAAGAAAAATGAATTTAAGTCTGGATGGAACTTAATGATGAGACATTCCATAAGCTTATCAAAATGATGCCATGGTGAATGCATAACATAATCAAAGCTAAAGGCAATCCAACTAAATACTGGAATGTGTTACTTTTTTTTGGGCTAGGCAGAGTATATTGTTTTGGAGATTTTAAATAATTTTCAGGTCAGAATTGCTTATGTTTGCTTATGCTTGCCGCCTTTACCTTCGTAACATCTCCAAAATACGCCCCTTCTTCACCAATGAAACCGCAAAACTACTCATACACTCCCTTGTTATCTCTCGTCTTGACTATTGCAACTCCCTCCTCATTGGCCTTCCACTACACAGGCTATCCCCCCTTCAGTCTATCATGAATGCAGCTGCTAGACTCATTCACCTGACCAACCGCTTAGAGTATGCATCCCCCCTCTGTCAATTCCTCCACTGGCTTCCACTTGCCCAGAGGATAAAATTCAAAATATTAACAGACCTTGTCTCCAAATATCACCCTTACCGTCCACTCCACTCTTCCCAAGACCTCCTGCTTTCCAGCTCCCTCGTCAACTCCTCCCATACTCGCCTCCAGGACTTCTCTAGAGTCTCTCCCATCCTCTGGAACTCTTGACCCCAACCTGTCCGTCTATCTCCCACCTTGACTGCATTTAGGCGATCCATAAAGACTCATCTCTTCAGGGAAGTCTATCCCGCCTCAACCTAACCACTGAACCATCACATTCTCAAACAATTCTTCCCCACACAGCTACCTCCTCATGTATCACTTCCCCCTCCTCTTTTAGATTGTAAGCCACAGGGGCAAGGCCCTCCTTACCATCTTGTCTTGAATTGTATTGTGATTGTAATGTCTTCCTTATATTGTAAAGCGCTGCACAAACTGTTGGCGCTATATAAATACTATGTAATAATAATATGTTACTATGTATGTGAAACCTTAAAATGAATTGTGCAGGAGCTAAAGAGTTAAAAGTGCACTTGTCTTTTAGGAAGTTGATAAATGAATAATGAAGTAAAGAAGTCAGATTCTTTGTTTAATTTTTCCAGTGAATAAAAATAGAGGAATCCGGCTGCTTTGGCAACAGCTTCACTTTTGCTCCAATTCTCTTTACTGTGTTTTTTCATTTTTATTGTATTATGTTAGAAGTAACAAGAGAACGATCAACAAAAGTTCACATTAATTTTTAAGAAAACGTGGCAATGTTATAAACGCTATCCTGCTCCGCTTCCTAAGCTAAATGCATAATATTTAATACTTACTATGAAAGTATTTTCAGTTCTAACACGCTATTTACCACATGTAGTTTTTTGCCCCAAAACATACATGAATGGTTTCAGTGTTACATGTATTAATAAAAAAAATGAGGCTTGAAGCACAAGTGATGTGCAAAATATAAATAATGTATAAACAGTGTGGAAAACTGAAAATAAGTATGTTGCAATGTGGTTTTCTGAAAAATGAATAATTAGATATACACACTGAGCATTTCAATTTCTCCTTAGTAGAAGAATCTATTAATAAATCATCAGTTTGGCCGGCTGCACCTAATCCCTCACGTCCTGTTTTTAGTGAATTTTGAATCCAGACTTAGCTTTGCTCAGGTAGCTTACATTTTATATGTATAGCATCATGTGTCTGTGGGCTCAAAAGTCCCATGTATTCAATAATAAGCAGTAAACCTATTTTGTACATTCCATACTAATTGAGAAAACATGCTCTACTGCTTATATTTTTTTGCAAAAATAATCTATTAACATATTCTACATGGTAAAGTTCAGTTTATATGTACTAGAGGAAATGTGACTACCCTTTTACCAGGATACATAAATTGATAATTGTGTAAGCCATGGTTTAAGTGAATCTTTTTAAAAAAAAACTAATATTACATTGTTTACCATGTTTTAATGTTACACCCATATTTACAGTGTAACATAAAACATGGTCACATTGGCACCCCCTCTCCCCATGT